TATTACATTACGTCCCAAAGAGCAGGTAACACGGCTCTCTGTCTACCTAATATGTATGCAATCACAGCAGTACTTCACAATTCCAAGTGCTTACTACAATTTTATGAAATACAAAAATGAAAACACTGGCAAGACTAACAACAACCAAGAGCTGCAGCTGATGCCTCAGAACATTCAAATTCTGCCACGCATGCATTTCTTACCTTTGAATCTTCATTGCTTACTCCCAGCTCCAGCACAGCTCGAGGAGATTTCAGCTTTGCTTGCATGGACTCTGCCATTTGAAGATTAAGCTGCCACCCAATTGTTTCAAGCTATAAAACACCAAATTATATTACAATCAGATAGTACAGAAGCACTCAGGTCAACTTCCAATATTGTAAATGGTTGTGTGTGAGCAAATACAGTATCAGGCTCTACAGATGCATTTTTATACAATGCATATTCTGCAAATTCTCCTTGACACCAAGACATTTCCTTCTCCCTCTTGCAAAGTTTATCAGTTCAAACTATCTATGACCACCTGAAATAAAGTTACTTCATATGCCTCAGATCTGCTAGAATCAATCCATAAAACACAGCTAAGGATCCAAAACGAGGTAGTTTTCCACTTCCTTGGGGAAGTCTATCAGCAAAGCTGCAGATCCAGTTTTCTTTCATATTTATTTTTCTTTTAGCAAAAAGAAAAAAAAAACCACCAATAAATGGTAAACAAGGTAAAAATGGTAACTTTTTCATCAACAGATCTACTCATATTTGCTCTACCATATACTGATGTTAATCACAAAAATAATTGTGCTGCTTTTAAAATTGTTACTACTGAAAAGCCAAAAAACTGTTAAGTAGTAAGCAGCAGAATTTTTAATAGAAAGCTACATAAAAATATATTTTAAATTGATTTTTAGTCATTAATCTAAAATTACATTCAAACATTATCAAGCTACACCTCACACAAAGTACACAATAATAGAAGTCTTTCAAACTAAAAAACCAACACTGCCTTCTTGAACACAGGAAAGTAGAATATAAAGTCTTACTATCAAACAAGTTAATTTGCATACAAGTGGTTTTAATCTAGTGTCTCCCCTCTGCTAGTAAATATTGTGGCTGACTTGGTAAAAGTGAACACATGCCAGATTTCAGTTAATCTCTAACCAGTCACACAATTCAGCTATAATCATGAACAGCACAAAGCCATCCCAGCGGTGCTGAACTGTGAACAGCAGAGAAGCCCATACATGCCCGGCCCCCTACAGGGACAGTCATCTCTAGATGAAAGACAGGAGAGAGAGTGAGTGGCAGAGACATCTTCCAAGAGCACAGCACAAAGACAGGACTTCCAAAATTTATCACAGCTATACTATTTACGCATTAAGGTATGTTACATTGCATTTCTTTGTATAGCTCATCAACACTATACCAATTTTGTCACAAACGCTGAAAGGAACATGACTAAGCACACCAAAAGGAAAATTATGTGTAATGACCCATTAACCACCACTGCCTGGCCAAGTACATTAGGACATTTAGCCTGGACAAAACAAAGGTAATGCAAAGATAGACAGCCTCTGACTTTGTGTACAGCCATAGGAGTAAGACAGTAGGAAGAACTTCAGCAGGTTAGCCTGCAGTCTGTCAACTGCCCTGCAATAAATGCCATTTTTAGGTGTCATTCTCTGGTAAAAATGAGGAAGTTTACAAATTAATTAAATTTATGAAAGTATGCATAAAACACAGGCACAGCTAAAATGCTGCAAATCTGGTCTATCCCATTTTGTGTTAGGTGTAGCTTTAGTAATAGAATGCACACAGCCTATGAACTTAAGGTGCTTTAAAAAACAAAGGTCTTAAATTTTACCTAAAACCAGACTAATTTTAATAATATGTCTGTTTTGATTTCTCTAGGAAGTTGGTTTATGAAAATACAAGGTCATTGCTCAACCCAACCAAAAGTGCAGCATAATCCAAAGTGTACTCTGTGGATGTGCTCAAACCAATCCCTCTAAGGGACAAGTCTCCCGAGTCCTGTGCTGGCCAGTATCTGGAATCTTCCAGGTAATTATACCAGAATGACACAGCTGGAAAACACTTTTCTCTCAAACTCCAATACATTGAAGTAAAGAAATCACCTCTAGTTGTCTCAGAAGCACAAAGGTCTAAGCACCTGGTGTTTAGATTAAGAAAGAAGTTCGGTTCAGCTAAAGAACCTTACAAAAATTGATAAAGGCCAACACAGAAGGACCCAAATGCAGACTTGCGGGCTAGAGGTGGGAACAGCCCAAACGAGGCAACAGGAAACACTGCCACTTAACCACTAAGGTCACACCCTGAGACCATGGACAAGCTCTGGAACATGATGGCTTTCATACTGCAGTCACTAAGGTTCAAGGCCCACACTCCTCAATTTTGAAAGGATTTTTTATCAGTTACTTAAACAGTTTATTACAGTAGTATGGAAACCAAGTCCTTGGGCTAGCACCTCATCCAGGATTAAAAAAAAAACACGCCACTAGAGACAAGAACAATATCCTAGGAAGCCTGACTTTTAAAACTTCTGTAAACAGTTATACAGTGTACACAGCATGGAAAACAAACTATGAAAAGTAAAGAAATTCAAATTTATGTCTTCTGTTTCATTTTTAATATGCATCTACCCAGGAATACTGTAGAGGGCTCAGAGCAAATACAATATACAGGGCAGAACAGCGGCCTGAGTTTATAGCTGAACACCAGCCATAACTCTTATTTAATATTGATTTACTTTGTTTTCCTGTACGATTCATGTTGTCTTTTTTGTTTTAAATATAGTTGAATGAGAACAAGTTTTGATTAACAAATAGCTCCTGCCTAAGGCTTCATCATGGCCTGCCTATTTATCTTCTGGAAAGAAAAAATGTAGCATATTTTTCTGTAGTTGTGTTTACTTAGAAGACATACAACATTCTGAAATACAAATTAACCTTTTGAGAGCAGTGACATGTTCCTGCGTGGCATTTGTGTCAACTCACAGCATTTGGTAGCCACAAAGTGGTAGATATTTAGGGCAAATTTTTTTCAAAAATGAAAGGACAACAAAATTATTTTTCCTTCTGATATTAGAAAACACAGTGCCAGAATCTACAATTTATTACCTGAAAAGCATTTAGTAGGGAGAGAAGTATTTATCCATGAACCAGTATGAAAATAAACCCATGTTTTTAGTTACAGTAGACCTTCAGTTTCTTCTTACAATTTATATTAGCAGTTGAGAAACGTGCATGGTACCTTGTCACTGCAACAATAAACACCACTGAAAATGTGCTATTTAGAGCTGTAAATTCTCACTGGTATCTCTGGCACTTACTTAACCTCAGGGTTATGTTTAGAAAATGAGAAAAAGGTGCCAGTTGGAAAACAAGGAAAGGAAAACAATAGATACTAAATAAAACCTATAGTAAGCACCTATGAAAATGTTTCAGATTTGCTCCATAAACTCTTTGGTTTTTCCAATGAAGCTATGAGGAAGCTTTTGATGACCCCTGTAATCCTCACTTCCTGTGTCCATTTTTTCCACTCAGGCTTCTGAAGACAGCTAGGTCTATCAGGAGGAACTTAGGTACTTTTCCCTTACAGCACCTACTCAGTACTTGCTGTAGAAAAGATAAGGTGTTAAACCTGCTAAACCAGCTCTGTATACCCTACAGACATAGTGCTTCTCAGTAGACATTGACATCTGTCCCAGAAGCAGATCACACTGGAGAGCTGCCAGTCTTCTGACTTCATCTATAGATCTCATCTGACTGACTTCATCTATAGATCACAAACACCTTTACATGTACATAAATATATCCTCTGCGTTCTGTCTATGATGAAGTCTACGATGTCCATAGTCATTTTACTCCAGTGTAAAAGCTGGGAGCTTCCAGCTCACGCCCACTGTCCTGTCCACCAGACCACTTTCCATACTAAACAGGAGAGCATAGTATTTTATATATTAGGACATCACCAGCAATCTAACTTAACTATGTTGAAATGTTTGGTTTAAAGTTACCCTCCTCGAAAAGCATATATGCATCAAATGTCAAGTCAGCTTTCAAAGCTCATCAGATAGGAACTTTAAGCATGATCCACTAAAGGAGTTCACATAGCCAAAATTGCCATTAACAGAATCTACCATATCCTTCATCACTTAGACCCTATTATGTTTTTACATACTGTTGTCTCTTGCTTGCACATTTTCACCACACTTTTGTCTGCCCATAAACACTATTACAAATTAAACCAAAACTGAGAAGACATACAATAAATCAAAGTGACAAGTTTCTATACTAGTTGTCAAAAAATCAAAATACTTTTTTACAACTACAGAAAGATATTTATATTACACTTTTTAAAGAGAAATCAAAAAAATGTTCATCAGGCTAAAAACATCAAAGAAAAACCAACCACCTTAGCTGTACCAGAAATCACCCTATCAGACTCAGAAACCAAGGACTATAACTTTGAGAGTGAAGGCAAGCTAGAGTCCAGAACACAAATGTTGTAGCATTCCACCCTGATGGACCAAGAACACAGCCAAAGTTACTGAGAAACTCACATGGAAAAAAATGTTAGCAAGGACTGTAATTTGGGAAAAGAAAATAAGTGGGAATATCAGGAGAAAAGGGGAAACTAGAAACTGGAAATAGAATTTCAGAGAACATGTAAGCACTTAAAATGCCTTCCCTAATACTTCCAACTTCACCCATTCAAAACTTCTGGAAGAGGGTCCAGTATTTTTAAGACAGGAGAGAGTAAAAGGGAAAAGGAAAAATGCTCAGTCAATACCAGAACAGGGAAAGGAAGTTTTTGGGGTTTTTTTTGGTCTTCATTCATATACTGAGATCACATCTCCTGTCTGTCTCTACACTCATGAAGACTGGGAACTTGTTTAATATGTAAAGCTGAAATATTAACATAAATTAAGTGCTCTAGAAGGTGAAGTTTTCTGAAGGTCATTGAGTATCATTGCCAGTCATTATAGAAGCTATAGAAAGCCAGTGTTACTGCCCTCAGAATTCACTGATGTGGCACAAACAGCTTACTTCTTTTCATAACAGAAGCAGGATGACATAATACCATGGAAACCACTGTTTCTCCTCCATGGATGTAGAAGACCAATGAAGGAACAGGTCCAACCAGGTAGTGGTCCTGACACTCCTATTGACTTGTGGTCTCCCAAAACAAGGAACCGTTGGCTGAGAAGTGAGAGTGTAGCAACAAGAGAACGTCTCAAACACATAAGAGAAACTTTTCCCTGAAATGAAACCTCTCAGAAAGGGAAGGAAACAAAGGG